TTGCTTAATCTTTTTCTTGTCTTCTGAAGCCATCTCTATTATTTCCAAGGGAAAATAATCTCTCAAAATTATAGCATTACTCTCAACATTATATTAGGTCAAATATATAATATCAAATGTTAATCATACAGGTATGTATATTATTTTTGTTTCATCATGAAGAACACCTCGCCACGAATGTGGATGAGAGCTTTTGCCTCTACTTCATTATATTTAGTTACTTTAACACAAGGGTTTATGCCCTACACTGCTAAAATGAAATAATTGTGTTAAAGTATCTAAATAGGATTAAGTAAATGCCAAAAATGGTTGCATGTTTTTTTTTCCAGTGATATGCTGATGGACTGGGTTAAAAGTCTCTAGAGAAGCTGGACAGAGCTGTCTGCAGCTTTATGTGATGGCTGGCATCATGCTAAACTAAAACACTTATAACACTTATCATGGAAAATAGAAACAACAAATCAGCTGCAAACTTATACATGACTCCAACACACAAACACTCAAAACTCACTTCAAGTGCACAAAACAGAATTGAGTTTATTATCATAGTTTATAGTTTTTTATGTTTTTTTTTTTTGTTTTTAATGAAGCATGTTAACTGTAACTTGAAGCCTTTTCTCTATAACTAAATGCGTCTCTAACATTGCTGTAGAAGAATTTTGGCACCCAAATTATTTGGGTTATTATTTGCAGTTTTGCTTTGACTACTTAATGTTCGTTGACATCATGTGCAACTCTCATCAGGTCCAACCACATGCTTTAAAACCAAAATGGTGTCTGGAACTAATGAAAAATAAATATAGTCAGTTATTCAAAAACTTTTTTTTTCCCGTGACAATGGATGAACTGTTAAAAACTATTCATAATTTCTGACCAGACAAAGCTAAAAAAGGGGGCGGTTTAGAACAATATTCCTATTGATGAGAGAAAGGGTCTTGGAAAAGTTGGGCTTTGTAGCTTTATTTGATTTTTTTTTTTCTCCAGTATCATTGCTTTCTGTGACAACTCAGACATGTCTGAGAGTAAAACAATGGGCTGTGTGGAGTGGGGATTCTTTCTTGGATCTGATCAGGTTAACATAAAATAAATTTGATGTTAATTGCATTCTTTTTTAAACCAGTTGTAAATAAATAAGATTAGTGAGTTCTCTCTGATGTTTTAACACATACACTGTCATCAACTACAGATTATCAACTGGTATTCTTATATGCTCCAGTTTATCCCACTTAGTGTTTGCAGTCCTCAGCATGTCTGCAAACATAAATCTCCTTTACAGCTGTGTGGTGTTTCAAACACTTTTATGTTGCTAATATAGTTATCTTATATTACTATTTTCATAGCTGTTTGACTTTTTCTCTTACTGTTAAGCATCAATACAATGAACTGCAGATGTCATTGACAAAAACACAGCATTAAAAGAGATGGAAAACCTCATAGTGTTTTTTTGTCAAATGCATTAAGCCAGAGATGGACAAACTACTGAGAAAATGTACTCAAGTAAAAGTAGCACCATCTCAACATATTAATACTCTAACTCGAATCGAATTGATAATGCATCCAATAAAGTACTAAGGTATGAGTAGAAAAGTAATTGGTAAAATTGCTTCTCAAGTAATGTAACTGTTCTACTATTTGAAATGACATAAACCAAAAAGTCCATAATATGATGTTGTGTACAAGTTCCTTATGTTTTAAAGACTAAGAAACATAATGGATTGAAACAAATAAAAATACAGAAAAAAATTTCAGGCACGAAAAATACTGGTTATACATTTTGTTGACATATAAAATAGTTTCTGAACGTATATGAAATATTCAGGCCAAAACAGGGTGAAATATCTCCACTGACAGTATACATTAATTTCACTGCATATTAGTTTGACCTGCATGTCATAGAGGATTCAGCATATGTCTACAAAAATGAATACTCATTTTAGTGAAACTGCCTGTGTCTGCTGCAGTTTACGTTCAAATGTGCTTCTTCTTTTCAGTGAAGTTATCCACAGTGGTTAGATATGGTATTTATTTTATGTAAGTAACAGTAACGATTCAATGATAATATTACTTGAGAAGAAGAAAAAACTATGGTACAGTGAAAATAAAATAAAATCAAAAAATTACTCAAGTAAATGTAACTGAGTAGATGTAACTAGTTACTCCCCACTTTTGAATATAGCTATTTGACTCAGTAAAGGTTAATTGGAATGTCAGTGTTCAGGCTTGAACAGGTGGCTCCATCTGCTGTTCATCCTTAGTCATTGCATCCTTGCTGTCTATTATCTGTCTCATTTTAACAGGTGAAAATATATCTTCCTGCAGGCTGGGCAGCTGATACGTCATGATGTTGACATTTACACTGTACTAACTGAGTTGATCATCCACAGCATCCACTTCATGTTGCTTCTTATCATTCAACAGTGACAAAGATGAATCTATGGAGGTTTTATGGAGGCATCCTCCTGGCTCTCAGCATAGCATGATCAACACAGTAAACAATGAAAATCCAAGGCAGGTTTATTTCTATGGGACATTTTGGAAGCAAGCCAACTGTGCTGCACACAGTTTTGTGAGTGTTACTTTAAAAATATCTATTTATAGTAAGTAGTTACCTATCTGAAAAGTATCTAAATTAGTAATTTAGGTACTTTTATTTTTATCTTATTTTTTTATTAAGGATTTACACAATTAATTAAATTGATTACACCTCTGAAAACTTTGTATTCTGATCTACACCATTTTAGTGTGTGTGATGGTACAAGGGAGCTGCAATATATTTATGAGGATAGTATTGTGTGTTTTGTGAACAATAAAGAAATAAGGATAGAAAGGATAAGGGGAATACAGCAACTTAGATGTTTTAGAACTTTATATTTGTGTTAATTTAGAAGCTGCCTAATGCCTTTAGCCTGAAAAATGAAGCTGAAGCTGATAAATATTGCTTTACTAGCAATTTCACAAAACGAAAACCACAGTGCAACACAATTTTATCAAAGGGTTAAACTCTTTGTGAAATTCATGAACAACACAAGGAGGAACATGTTGTCAACCAGGTGACAGTCGGTGTTAAAATAATGTGAGGAACTAATTTGGATTAGAAATTCTTCTAATCAGTTATATGGGTCATTCAACAAAATTGGTGCAGTCAGAGATGGAAACATCTGGGTGAAAAAAAACATTTATGTTAATTGAACAATATCCAAGATATAGCTTTCTCGTACAGGTAGCTCTGTGGCTTTGTTGGTCAAAGTGCCTATTTTGTAAACAGGAGGTCCTGACTTCAGCTCCCAGCGTGCCTTTCTGTTAAGGGGAGTAATGGTTATGGCATAGAGCTTTGAATTCTGAGGTTCCTAGTTCAAGCCCCACTCTGACACACTGCCACTCTGGCTCTCTGAGCAAGACCCTAAACCCCACACTGCTCTGCACAATGGCAGTCCACTGTTCCTCAAGGGTATGTTTTAATGCAGAGATACATTTCACCAATGTCAGATCAATAATGTTCAATTAGTAACTGAAATAAAAGGTAATTTCATATGGTTTTGGAATACAGGGTTATATTGATATTTTAAAGTTCTCTTTGCATCTATCTTGTAAGGATATTTTTTGAAATTTTGTTTCTCAAAATTATTTAATTTTGACTTTTTAAGAGTGATTTATCAGAATTATTGGATTTTGAGTATATTTTTCTTTGTTAAGTCTATAAATGTAAAAAATATTTCATTTTGTCAAAACATTTCATTTCATTTCATGTTTGAGTGAAAAAACTGACAGATTGAAACATGCTTAAAGGTGTGGTCCTGAGTTATAACCCAATAACCTCCTGAGGATCAACCATG